CTCCTCACCATCATCGCCGATTTGTGAGCAAACACCGAGACAGACAAGGGACCATGTTCAATTTAGACAGTAATTAATTTAGCCCCCACCAAGTTTCAGTTCAGCGCCCCGCCCCCTCCCAGAGTCCAGCCCTACAACCAACATGGAGTGCTGAGGTCGGCACGGAACCGCGGTCCCCTCCGAGGGACGGATGGTCTAAATGTTCTGTGGGCTGTGTTTCTTCTTATTTATTCATTGATCGCTGCCGCTCACTCCTCTTTTGTCCCCTCTGTCGTCTGACTCTTCCCTCTGTTGCAAACCAGTGACTACTCCAACCTGCTGTGTTCCAGCAGCACCACCGCCTATACGATCAGATTCGGCATTGTCATCTCACAATCGCTGTTTCTCGCTCATTGGGTTCTGGCTATCTACCAAAATGAGCCGAAGTAGTTATAGTTACGATGATGAGGATGACTACGACATCCGCTACCAGAAGCGTGGGCCTTCGCCTGGCATCCGATACGTTGCGAACCCGCAACGTACACAAAACTATTACGATGCACCTCCAGGGCCCAGTTACATTGGAGCTGACCGCCTGAATATCACAGCCATGCATCGTTCTCGGTCTCGTTCTCGTACTGGTGAGCTGTCTCGGACTCGAGAGCGTCGCGCCAGCAGTCCCCCGGCCCCTATTCCTGTAATTATCAACAACAAAATATACAACGACCTCTCCTCCGATGATGAAGATACTCGCCGCAAGCAAGTTGCGCGGTCTTCGCGGCGGCGCCGCTCTCGCTCTCGCTCTCGCTCACACTCGTCCTCATCCCGATCTCGATCATCTTCTTATATGACTCGAGAAGAATGGGAGGCTGAGAAAACTCGCAAGGAGCTTGAGGATCTTCGTCTCCAAACAGCACGGGAGAAGGAGGAGCGAAGACTTGTCAAGCAATACCGTGACGAGTGGGAGGCCGAGCAAGCACGTAAAGATCTTGAGAGAAATCGACGCGCTAGCTCACGCGAGAGAGACGAGCGGCAACGCGAGAAAGATGAGCGACAGCTTGTGAAAGGATATCGCGAGGAATGGGAGGCGGAACAGGCACGTAAAGAGCTTGAAAAAATGCATCTTGCTCATGCGCGCGATGAGGAAGAGCGCCGTCGATTGAGGGAATTCAAAGAGGAGGAAGAGCTCAAGCAAGCCAAGCGCGAGCTCGAAAAGATAAAGGGCCGTAAAGCGCGCGCTGATGAGGAAGAACGCATCAAGAAGGAGATTGAGCTGAGGCGCCTGAAAGAAGAAGACGCCGCCACAGAAGAGAGACAGCGCCGCGAGAAAGAGGCAAATTCTGCTGTCGAGGATTACAAACGAAGGGAGCTTGAGCGCGTTGCCAAAGAGAAGAAACTCAAGGACCAGAAGGAGAAAGAAGCAGCTGAAGCAGTTGAGCGTTACAAGCAGGCAGAGAAGGATCGCATAGCCAAGGAAAAGGCCGACAAAGAAGCCAAAGACCGGGAATACCAGGACCGCTTGAAACAAGACCTCGCCAAGTCAGGACTCGATGATAAGACCATCGAGGCCATCTTGAAGAAGGAAAAGATCAAGAAGACACAGCCTCAACATCCGCAGCCTCTACCACATCACGCGATGGCTGGTCCAGCTCACCATTATACCCCTGTGCCCATCCCAGTCAACCAAATCGCCGCAATTCCTCCTCCACCCCCTGCTGGCCAAGTTGCTCGACCAACGTATACACGCATGTCTCGCCGACATTTGTCAATCGAGTCGTTGCGTGAATTCGGTGTCGAATTCGATTTTGATACGGTATGTAGTAGTCTTGTTACCACTTTCCTTAATTGCATGGTATTGAGCTAATTCTATCGCCAGGATCCTGACTATCTACTCATTCGACGCTGGGTTCCGGAGTGGGAGCAAGACCGACTGTGGAAGCACACAAAGCTGATCCGCGAGAAGCGCACCAAGATGCTTATGGTTGAGGAAAAGCGCCATGGCAGAGAAGAGCCAGACTTTGAATGGGTTCGCAAGAAGGACAAGGATAAGCATAGCCGCCGCAGGAGTAAGTCACCAGGATTGTTGATGTATTTGGCTGGTGCGCGGCCGGCTTAGGCTCAATGGGTTATGGGATGTCAGTTGCGAGCGAGATTCTTTTATATTAAACCAGCCAAGAAGTGGTCCTTTAGTTCTTATCTTTTGAGACGAGTTGTTGTTACAGTTGTTGTACACGATTTACAGTTACTTTGCTCCAGCTCGGCGAATCAGCTCCTCGTACACCGTCCAGGCCAGTGCCGAACTCATGGCCTTGCGGCTCATCCGTAACGCCAAGCCATCCCATAGTGACCGGATACCCTCATGCGTTACCATCTTATACCAAGCGTGCCATATATTCCTATACTCCAATGGCTGTAATTGAATTCGTGTTTTGACCGCATCGAACGGGTTCGAAACAATGGAGCATGCTGCACCGGCCAACATAGCGGAAGTGAAGTTCACAGAGCTAGCCAGAGTTGCTTGCATTCTGCTTGTGCCCTCGCCTGATGTAAGCGGCTTGGACGCCAGTGTTCCAAGGCGCGATTTCAGCATCTCGTAGAATAGCACGTACATGCCAGCGTACGGTGCATCACGAAACGCCGTGGCACCGAATCCAGAGAAGAAGCCACGCCAGCCCTGAGTCCGGCGTATGTCATTCGCAGCTGACATGATGGAGGGATAAGAATATAGACTGGATTCAAAGCGAACCTTAATCACGGTGAGAGGCATAAGGACAAAGCCAGCAAACGTTCTTGCAACTGCGCCCGAGATGAGGTTGCCCGAATTCGTTAATGAAGGGAGGACTGATGAGCGGCCCTGGGTCTGCAGCCGCCGACCCAGGATACCTGTCTGGTGTGCATGCTGGCGAATCGCATTGAGTGATGTGAAGTAGAGAGCTGAACCGAAGCCCGTCCGTAGCGCTGAAGGGACGGTACCTCGCCACAGTGACTTTACGAGGCTCTGGGATTGCCTCAGATCACGCAGGGTAGCGCTTAATGACGAACTACCAGACTGCTGTACCCGCGTTTTGAGAAGATCCAGAGGCTGTAGGAGAACTGCAGAAGTGACGCCTGAACCAAGACCAGATATGAAATGCCGGGCTATTCAATTGTGTCAGACGGCGAATATTCAATGGGGCCGACAGAGGCCGAACCACACAGAGACTCCGCTATATGGAATTGACCAAGAAAGCATACCTGAATTGGCTGACCGAGAGGTTCGGGGCTCGGTCATTGGTAAGGACACAGCAGCACCATTGTGTTGAGTCGGGGAATCAGCAATTGAGATACCCATGGCTAGTCACAGACTTGAGCCACCGGGCATGTCGGGGAGATAGAATGGGTGACATGACGAGATAAAATCGCACTGGGAGCCTGGGCCCCGCTGCGTGAATTGGCCCCGCTTTGATGCATCTTGCACGTGTTGGTAAAAGAATGACCCGAGTCTGTAGTAGGAGACATGGATGGATCAGTTCGCGCCAACGCCACTGGCATTGTTACCCCGATAATCGCCTATCACAGACTCAAGACGGCCAGCCAGAAGACGGTGGCGTTTGACAAGCTCAACCCATTCATTTATACCGATCGAAGCAAGAAGCATGCCGAAGTCAGCGCCCAGCCTCCCCAGACTGCCCGCGCAGTAAAGTACCTGCGTCAAAATGCTTTCCCTCGATGTCTGGTCTTTGACGGTTGGCAGATAGATTCGCAGCGTTTCGACAAGCATCTCTACCATATGGAGGGGAAAGTCAGCCATTGGGGAAGGCAGTGCTCCCAAAGGATCATTTTCGTCGTTCTTCCCGTGCGTCGCGAAGCTCGAATTTATGCTCTTAAACACCGAGACAATGCTAAAGCTCTGTTCGCGGAATATCTCGATAAATCGTTTCAGGTACCGCTCTGTCTGCTGGCCGCCTGACCACGTGCTGGTAGCTTTGTCCTTTCGAAGTCGTTCCTCATCTGCTAGGTCTCTTAGAGGTTCCAGTGCTTCCAGTGTTGTCAAGAGCGTAGACAAACGGCAGACCAAGAAGACGGCCGGGAGTGCGTCTTCAGTTGATGCATCAGTCACCAGATCTGGAACGATTCGTTTCAGCCAGCCCATCGTTCGAACGGCAGCGGCAAGCTTGAGATTGGGTGCTTTGAGCGTTCCAATGAGATCTGCAGCCATCTGCCGAATGGCAGCATCCGCCTCGCCTAGGACCGACGTGACAAGCGGTGAGTCTGGGTAGAGGGAAGCAAGCCGTCGGACGTGCGCGTAAAGCTCGAGCGTAGAGGAATGATTGACCGGTGCGGTCGAGACAGCGGACGAGAGAAGGAGAGGCATTTCCATGACATCAACAAGACGTTCCGAGTTTCGAAGTAGTAGGAGTGCCTGTTTTCTCCGCGCCAGTAACTTGCTCTCGCTGGCCTTGCCAAAAGCCGACGAGAAGTGTTCTGCTTGCGCATCTAGTCGGGGCACTGCCTGGACAAGATCTGAGGCTCGCTGGGCCAGAGTCGGTAGGGACGTTCGTAGCGAAGCATGGCTCGCGGCTGAATCAACGACGGGTTTGTGGGATCTCTTCGAAAGCGCTTGTACGGCAAGCAGTAGGGAATGGGAGGTCTGAGATAAGACTTGAGGCTCGGATGATTGAAGGGAGCTGGACTCTTGTTCGGCAAGATAGGTCAGGTACTCCAGGGCAGATGGGTCGTTCGCCTGATCGGGTGCCAGCAGGTCTCTTAGAGCTTCCGCCATGGTGGTTTGAAGAGTCGTGTACGGTTGGTGCGGGACGATGCGACGCGAAATAATGTTCTTGGAGGTGTCAAATCGTCTAGCGCCAGTCGATTGTAGAAAGGGGGGTATTCTAGGACAGCAGCAACAACTGCGAGTCTGATCATGCGAATGAACAAATGGGATCTTTAAACCAACTACCAATCTGCCAAGCTCCAGCAGACACACCCGTGACTGTACGCTCGTGGACGATATAGTGTTCTAAATGAGTGAGGTGGCAGCTGGCCTGTAAACGACCTAACTAGGCTATAGGTAGAGATCTGGTGGGGGCAGGATAATGGCGCTGCCAACATCAGGTACTCGGCCACCCCTGTTGGATCGGATTACCTAAGGTCTCAACGTCCAGGCAATAATCCTACCTAAGCCTATCAGAAAGCCAGAACTGCGCTGGCACGGTACGAATAACGGATTAAGCTCCAAAGACAGATCAAATGCGACTATCCAGACCCTTACCCGTGCTGTTCCCACGTGAGCTTCCCCAACAGACGTGACCAGGCGAATGAATATCAAGTTTCCTCCGTACTTGAGGTATCCTTTCGTTACGCCGCCTTGCCTCGGCTCATTTAAAGTCTTTGTTCCTCCGCACTCTTTTGTTCCCGGCCCTTTCTTTCTGGATCTTCTTGCTGGGTTCTCGCGAGCACAAACCTCAACCGTTTTGCAACTCCAATAACTCCCAATTCATCCCGCCAGCATGAAAGATCCATTTCCTTTGCAGCCTTCGCCCTGGCTATCAGAAAAGACACAGCCCTGGGCTGACTATTTTGACCTGCCTACACTCCCGCTGCACATACACGAAGTTCTGGCCGCAGCGTTGTTATACTCGGTCATCTTCTGGCCTATATCACCATGGATCTCCAACCTTCTGGCCCCGGAGCACTACTCCAAACTTCCTCGCAAGCGACGGCTCAACTGGGACGCCCACGTTGTTTCCATGGTTCAGAGCTGCCTAATCAATACCCTGGCTATATGGGTAATGTTCGTCGATGCTGAGATGAGCAACATGGAATGGGAGGAGCGTATTTGGGGTTATACTGGTGGTGCTGGGTTCATCCAGGCTCTTGCAGCTGGATACTTCCTCTGGGATTTAGTAGTCACCAGCATTAACCTCGATGTTTTTGGCTTGGGAACCTTGGCGCACGCAATCGCCGCATTACTTGTCTACTCGCTCGGCTTCGTAAGTTTAGACACGATGTTATGCCGCCTCTATCTCTACTAATCAGCCTTCCTCAGCGTCCATTTCTCAACCACTACGCCTGTGTCTTCATCCTCTGGGAGTTATCCACACCTTTCCTCAATGTTCACTGGTTTATGGATAAAATTAACATGACGGGTACGCGCGCGCAACTATATAATGGCGTCATGCTTCTTTTCACCTTCTTCTCCTGCCGGCTTATTTACGGAACTTATTCATCCTTCCGTGTTTACCGCGACGTGTGGTCCGCCATTAATGTTAACCCCGACATGAAGGCACTCGATTTGCCAACCATGTCATTTGCGCACCCAGACTCCACGGTGCCCATGTGGATTGGCGTCGCCTATTTGGCCAGCAACGTCACCCTCAACAGTCTTAATTTTTACTGGTTCTTCATGATGATTCGCGCCGTACGTAAGCGGTTTGTGCCTACGGCTGAATCAGAGGAAAAGATTCAAGAGAGCCCAGTGACTGAGGCTGAGATTGATCTGTCTTCCGTCTCAACAGGTTTATCCAAGCCCACTAGCGGTCGTCGCCGCAAGGCATGATCGAGCGAGGAAGGCCAGCAGGTCTAGATGCCTCATATGCCAAGACGTTTTCGGGAAGCCCTTCTTGCTGGTCGGATTCGTGACGGCCGAGAGCTCGCCTTCGAAAACGTTCAGACTACCACTATCGCTTCCCGAACAAGTATGCTCTCGAGTTTCAATAACTTTAAACCAGGAATACAACTCTATGGAACGGAAGAACCACTCAATCCTTTTCTCCCGTCTGATCATTTTTATCCCTGTGGCCCCTTTTTTCGATTCCATCGCCTTTTCTGTATTACACATCGCCAGTTTGCAACGAGACCTGCCTCTTCAATGATTTACGTTCTACTACGACATTGGATAGACTTATAGATGAGAACATTAGAAGGGTTTGATCTAGCTTGTCCAGGAACAGCCATAAATATACTATTATTATTCCACACTTGACTCCCAGGTTGGTCCACCTGACAAAGTCGACATATACATACAAGATGTGAAGAAAGATGTCCAGAGTATTTGCAAACAAGACGAAACGACGTGCGGTGACGACAAGTTTGACAAACTTTTCAAGAATTAAAAACCAAACGGGTTCTGGGGGGCTATAGAGAACATTAGCATTACACATAGACAGCTGAAATCGTTTCAACGTACTCGCTTGCGCCAGGTTAGCCCTACGCCCTGTTGCCTGAGGCGCTAGTTTCTTGGTCTCATTTGTCACACCAAATCGCACGGGAGGAGGTGGACCAGTCTGCTGTGGTTGCAGAGGCTGAGGGACTTGCACGTTATTCATACCACCGATACCACCCATGTTCGTCATGCCAGTAGCTTGGGGCTGCAATCCTGGCATACCTGTTCGCTGAGGTTCAAGAGCTGGAGGCAGGTAGCTGTTGATGCCTCCTGTAGGTGCTCCATACATCGACTGTGTGGCAGGGAAAGGCGGTTGAAAACCTGTGGGTTGAGCCTGCATTGGGACGAATTGATTCGGTCCCTGCATTCCAGTCATCATGGGCTGCATGAACTGTCCTGTACCAGTGGGGTAAGACATCAAGCCAGGGCCTTGTTGTCCTGGAAATCCAGTCATATTGGGCTGCATTTGCTGAGGGGCTTGCTGTTGCTGCATCTGAGCCGTATATTGTTGCTGCAGGCGGGCTTGTGTGATCTCACTCAGGCTCTGGCCAAGAGGCGCAACTTGGCCTTGCAGAGCACCAGTCATCTGAGGCATCATGGGGGGGGGCGCAAAGCCGCTGGGCTGGGCAGATTGCGGGGCTGAAAGTGGTCGCTGAGGTGGTGGAGGGACAAGAGAGCCCTGGTTCGCAGTACCCTGTGGAGGAGTAGGACGTTGCCGAGCCTGAGCAACAGATGTAAAGAATGAGGGGGTAGCGCCGCCCAACGGTTGCGATACGGGTGTCGAGGTTGGCTGAGCAGCAATGACAGGCGCCGGTGCCGGGGCGGCTGGTGGTTCAGCCCTGGTGGGTTCGAGGGGTGTTGAGAGGAGCGACAACTCTTGCATCGAACCAGTCAAGGCCGGGGGAGGGGGTGAGACTGGAGTAGGCTCAGGGGCAGGCTTCTGAACAGACTCAACAGCAGGCTGAGCTTTAGGTGGCGATTGCTGCTTGCTAGGCTTCACGTCCCAGGCGTCGTCATCGAATCCTGAGCTCGATGCTTGACGAGTTTCGGGGCCCTTATTTGTAGGACTGGTGGGCGGGGGTGATCTGCTGTCGTTTTCGCCAGTCTTGGACGAATCTCCTCGTGAAAAGGCACTGGCATCAACAACATCGCTTGTTTGGACCGCTGGCGCGGGTCGACCCTTTCGGGTGTTGTTTCGTAGCGCACCGCCGGGTCCAGAGAACAAACCCCCTTCACCATCAACTCCGTCAGCAGTTCCTCTCTTTCCACCGCGGCTGCGGCCATATTTGGCATCCAAAGTACGCATGACCTTGATGATATCACCCTCGCGGATTCCAAGAGCTCTCAGAGTGGTGGCATCCACATCAGGAAGCACGCTCTCATCCATGGAATCCTTAATAAAGGCTTGTGCGTAGCGCTCACACAACCCCACTGCAACCTCGCAAGACAAGAAAAACTGAAACCAATCGTAGTCGGACTTGGCATCCTTGTCGACCGATGCGCCTGCTGAAGGGCTACGTTCGGGGGATTTCTTTTCGGCAGACCGAGCTCTCTTGACGTCTGCCAACGGCTTATCGTCTTCCAGGGATAAGCCTGTGAAGTTTTCAACATACTCCAGATCCTCGCGCGACATTTTTGTGATAGGAACTGCAATCTTGACACCATTCATCTTATGTAAGTGAATCTTTCCGTCCTTCAGACCAAGAAATTGGGCTTCCACACTGAAAGACCGGGAACGGTCTGTCCAGGTGCGAACCTTAGACGCGTCAGGCTCTATAAGAGGCATGTCAGCAGATGCTCTAAGTCGCATCGCACACATCTGAGTGAAAAGAGCAATCGAATCAAGTAACAACTTACTGGACTTTGATCGGCTTTGACTGCCGCCATCACTTCGTCCATTTTCTCGACGGCTCCGCTGTTGTCCCGAATTACTACCAGTTTCTCGTGCCATGAGGCTACTGCCTCGTTCAGGGAGAGGCATTCCCGGTCCTACCTGCTGAGGTTCTTTGCCAGCCTTCATGGCTTCCTTGGTCAATCGGATTTCTTCGAGGCGGTTTTGTTCGACGAGGGACTTGGCTGAGTTTATGCCGCTAGACGAGGGTAGTGGGATAGAGCCAGTGATCTCAATATAGCTGCTAGGGACGACTCCTTCTTTACCATTCTTGAGCCGGCGAACTTGCCACCACTCTTCGCTTTTCGTATCGTCGATAACAAGCACCTCGTCTCCCACAGCAACAGTTACCTCGTCGTCACCTTGGGCCATGAAGTCATACAGGACTTGGCCTTTTTTCTGGCCACCACCACTGCTGCCCTGTGTCCCAGCCATGATCACCTCACGGAGTCCTTCAGCACGTACAGCACCAGCCAATTCACCCAACATACTAACAATTTCCTCGGCTGTGTCCTTTGCTCCGGCGTGGAAGTCGACGCTCTTGCTTGGGCGCACAAGCTCCATAAAAACGTGCTTTCCCTCGCGCGAGTAATGCGTCATGCGGTCAGCGGTCCATTCCTGTGAAGGTCCATCAGAAGCATGCTCTGGAGCAACCAGTATGATACCTGTTAAAAGATTAATTCCTAATGTTGTGGGCATCTTCTTCTTCTTGCCCATGATGGAAATCATCTCGTTGATGTTATACATATGAAAGCCGCCAGGAGTACGCTCGACATCTTGGCGGCGATCCGGATCCCTGTGGTCTTGGAAACTACGGGTGTGTATAGGCGAGGGGGGTTCGTCATAAGTTGGAGATGGTGGCGCTGGTACCCTTGGTCGGGCAGGCAGAGTCGGTGATCGTACGGGCTCGTCCTCGACTTCGGGGGGTTCGCTAAACGTAACAGACGCACGAGGGGGCTGTCGAGGAGCGGCAGCTTGCTGAGATTGTTGAGAACCTGAGCGACCATGCATGACGCCTGCGATAGCAGCAGCAGGGTTCGAAGGGGTAGGTGCTGTGTCATTCGGTAGGTCCGGAGATGCGAGCTCTGGTTCTGGGGAGGAGATCGAGGGAGCTTGTGGTGGTCTTGAAGGTAGCGCCGGCGGCGGAGACGGCAGCGGGGGCTGAGCAGACTCAGCAGATGCGCCCATTTCGATGTAGTTGGAAGGGACAAAGCCATATTCGCCATCTAGGCCAGTCAGGATCCAGTCGGGGTCCGACGTGTCGTAGACAGCAAGTGTAGCGTCCTCGTGAAAGGACAATTCTTCATCTGTCTGGCGCGTGTAATCGAATAAAGCTCTAGCATGGTCTACTGGCTGAGCCTTTTAAATTCAGAAACGAAGCTTTAGTACCCGTGCTGTGACGGTGCTGTAGTTATTCGGCGTCAACTTACCTCCTCGACATAATTACCAGGAATAAGACCAGTTGGCTCTTCCTCGTCATCAGCGCCGGCCTTCTTCTTTGCCTTCCACCAGCCATCGTCGCCGTTTTTATCGAGGATGAAGAGCAAGTCTCCATCCTTTATTGCGAGCTCTCCCTCAGCTTGGGGCACGTAGTCGTAGAGAGCCCGGTAGACACCTAGAAACCCCATGTCGAAGGTATTGATTCGGCTCGATCGGCTGCACCGCGCGAGTACACCTCTTCGGCAGGGAACCTCTGTTGGATTAAGTATAGAGAAATGATAAAAAAGGGAGAATTGAAGGGGTTGGCTAGAAGTAAGACGCTACAATGCGATGCGATGCGATGCGAAGTGACGCAGTGCGTCGTTTGTCTGAGGAGCAAATCAATGGACTACCTTGGTAAGGCAGGTATGGACCGATCCGACGTACCGTACCTTCCCCCTACCAAGTTCGTTAACCAGAATCTCTGATTGCGGTATAACGTGGGTGGGTGTAGAATATGATCCACTATGTGTTAATTCGTTCATAGGCGGATTGGGTCGCCAGAAGCGGAGCATTGCCGGCCCGTACATATTGTGCATCACCCCTTTATCTGGCGCTGGTTGGGCTTTAAAGCAACGTCAGCTTAAAGCTAAGCACTCAGCAGGTACCGAGTAAAGCTACCCTGTATCTTGTATGTGATAGGCCATTTGAGCTTCACTTACTCCAGCTGCCAGATAAGATGAGAAGTTTGAAAGAACAATCAGCAACGATGATCTATATCTTTTTAGGTCTCCAAGCCTTTTATGTTTTTCTCTGCCACAGGTTGAAGCTTGTTGATCATCTAACATTGGCTTTGACAGCCAAGGAGTAAACTTGACGAACGAAGCCCAATCACCGTTTAGAACAATATTGTTCATTATTTAGATACCTAATACTTTATAGCTTTGCTATCACATAAAGTTCCCTAGATCATGCCAAAGGGAGAGAAAAAAAAAGTCGATTACCCAATTATCGTGCGCCGTTGTCTATCCACCACACCTGTTGGGTGTCCAATTATTCATCCATTGCGATACCTAAAGCAATTATATTCACAGGTTTCAAACGGTTACGCATCCTAAATACACGGCCGAGACTACCTAGCAAAGATCAGGTCTCAGGGCCGAAAACATCGTCTTCAGTGTCACGGTCGTCATCAACTTGGGCAAGATTCCGGTGGCTACCTGTGCGGTGTCCACGAGTAAAAATGCCAGGGAACATTCTCGGATCGGTTCCAGAGAGATGGTGGTCTGACATAGGATCGCTAGACCATGTTTGATCTCGGCCGGCTGACAGACCAACTTGGGATGCGACCTTTGCAATGTGATGGCCAACTGGTGAAGACGTCTCGACATTGGCAGTCTCGTTACCCGTCGCGGCCCCTAAGCCAGCGGTTTGGCCAGCCAGGGACGTCACTGACTCTGACATCTTGCTTTCATTGCCAGCAGCTTGTGGAGGGGGTTCATTCACAGCATTGTAAGTGACATATTTCGACAGCCTGGGAACAATCGTGTTAGCATATATGATCGATCTTACGGAAATGGCCAGTCGCTTACACATCTCTCTCCTGCATCAAGGTGAAGTAGCGGAATTCTTCCCTTCGATCAGGAACATTTGTCTTGACCATGGCGTTTCCTTCCTTTCCTGGCTTATTGCATCCACGCCCTAACCAATGCTCCTTAATGGACAACTCGTAACCACTTTGTTTAACAGAGTTCTTGGCGAGCTCACACATGTCAACCGAGTTCAGCTTGTAAATCTGTGCCGCAACCGCATACTCCTCGATTAATGGCTCTTTGGTGAAAGCAAACTGCAGAGGATCGTCCGTAGATAGTGAGACATTGAGACCCCTCTTGAAGTACTGGTGGAAAGGGTTCCGCTCATAGGCAAGGAACAGGGCATTGTTACTCAGCGGTGACATGGCAATGCCGATTTGGTCCAGGTAAAAGACATACTGAAGAAGGGGGACTTTGCGTAGGAGCAATCCGTGGCTGATGCTATGACAGCACAAGGCGGCAACAGCTAAGTGCTCGCTGTCACCAGCTTCTCCGCAATGGGGTCGTAGAACCAGCGTGTTGAAACCGCGCTTCTTGCGCCAGTAATTCAACGACACCAGATTAGAGTAAAGATAGTAAATCCAGTAACTATATGGCGGATTCTGTTTGGTATCCCATACTTTCGGCACAGGGAACTTCTTGAACAGCCGACGCTCGACTTTACTCTCGTCGTCAACACTGTCGAAACCAATCACTCGCTGAAGGAAAATATGCAGCTTCGGATGACTTGATGGGTCCTTGGTAGCTTCAAAGAGTGGCTGAAAAACATTCTTGACCACCTGTTCAAAAGTCTCCATGAGACCACTTGCTTTGTAGACGTCGTAGAGGCGAGGAATCTGGATGAGCCAGCGGACATTGTGTGAAAACAGCTTGTTATCAATCACCCAAGCGGCGAGCTTGTCCCACTCATCAATGGATTTGCCATAAATGGAGATGCGCCACTCAACCATTTGATACTTGCTTGACTCAAGATCAGATATGACTTCTTTGGTAATTTCGGCAAGATACCGGCCATGGATAAAGTTATCTGTCTTGAGAAAGATAGTTCGAAGACGGGACTCTCCAACTGGATTATACTTGAGGTTAAATTTGTCGAAGCGATGGAACGAATCCGTGTGAGCCTATAGCAATTAGTGACCCAACTCTCTAAATACAATATCAAGTTCAAAGAGCAAGCCTTACATGCATGTCCAATGTATCAATGCTCAGGTCATAAGCTGTCAGATTAATACTAGCAAAGACCTCGGCTAGGGTGAGATGTCTACCATCACGAAACAGGACGACTTCGTTGGGAAATTTCTTCATCTTACTCTTAATGAAGCGAAGCAGATGTTTCTGGTTCATGCACGCAGAATGATGAACGTGGGTATCTACCTTTCGAACATTGTAAAAGTCTCGGTGGGGAACCTTCTTGCTGTCGGCTGTTTCTTGATACTCATTCAAGAGGACATATAGGTTGAATTTACCTTCGAGATATTGGAGACGTCGAAATGCAAAACTCTTACTAGGTCCGTCAGATGAGACGTCCAGAATGTCGTCCAGGTCCATGTAGAATTCCCTGATTGTAGGAACCTTGATCGCAGGCGTCTGAGTATCGTGGCCTTCGAATACTTGATAGACTCCGCTATCGTCCAACTTGTATGAGCGTCCATCATCGCCCGGCAGAGGCAATATGTCAGCCATATCGAAATCCTCTCCAATATCCTGGCCTGGCTTTCGCCTTCTTGCCGAGCGTCTACCTTCATGGTGCTCCTGGGGCAACTCTCCTGGCATAGACCCAACAGCATCCTTACTACCGTTCAAACCAGTATTCTCTTGACCTGGTACGTGCTCTGGAGTACTTGCTCTTTGCCTCGACGATTGCTGCCATGCCGGCTCTGGCGGAGGGGGGTAAATTTCCCAATCCGGGCCGTCTCTTGGGTTATCATCAGGCCCCTGATTCGAGAGGGCAATGTATTTGCGCCGGGTGTCGAGGATTCTCTGAATATTTTTCGAGATAGCACTCAGTTCTGAAGTGATATGGGGCTCAGTGTCAAAGAGTCCACCAGAGGGCAGGCCATTGCTGGAGCCATCAGGCAGCCGTGGATCCTGGGCAACCTGACCAGCATGAGGAAGTGCAGAAGGATTACTAGGTGGGAATGGGGCAGGTTGCGCATCGAGTTTTGTAGGTGATTGAGTAAACCCGGAGTCAACGGCAGAATTTGGCATCTCCAACCTAGGAGGGAAAGAATCGACCCGACGACCACTCGAGTCTAGCACAAGACTATCGGCACCATATTCGGTTGCAGGGCGAGATCCAGAAGCAAGAAAAGGACTTTGAGGTATAGATTGGTAGCCAGCCCCACCACCGCTGCGTGCATCGGCCTTGTTTCGGTGGTAGAAGTATTTTGCGTCCGTCTGGCTCATTTGACGCTCAGCGACAGGATCGTAAAAAGTAGTTCTCTTGGGCAAGTCGCGGAGAAGCATCCCATCTTCGAGCTCCTCGGCTTCGTTGCCGGTGTGGGAGCCAGCGTCAGAGGGGGCATTGTGCGAGGCGCCATGTCCGGTTGCACCAGAATCTCTAGTCTCGTCTATCTCCTCATCTGACTCCCGTGCCCGCACATCAAGCGCGCTTGATTCGCTTTCCTCGAAGATAGGGCCGCCTGTGGCATATTCTCGGTCAGAAAGGTTTCCAATTGCTGTCGTTATCGTCGAGAACCAAAGCAGGGTTCGTGATATTGGGTCTGGCGCAGTGGAGGAGGGGCAGGGCGAGCTGTAGAATACGTACCAGCCATGGCGATGCCTTGATCTGAATACGATTTAGCTAGCAGATCAAGTTCCCTCGATTTAACTCCTCCCTCGGCTGATGGCTTTGGGGAAGGTGACTGATTCGATTTTGATTCTCGAGAGGACGTTTGAAAGAGGAGAGCCCTAGGAAGTGTGCCTACAATAAGAGAAGCAAAGACAGAGCGAACCCATGGAAGGTATGACGGTGTGACACACCAGGGTTTATAGCGGGTCATAGCGGGACAATGAAGTCGGTGCAATGCACGCCGTAGGCAAGGCGGGGGGGGTTCAGAGGTCCCATCTAAACTCATTGAGGCATCTGCTCGGTATTGAGTTAAAGCTCCACATGATAGTTGCTTCTTGGAACCTCTCCCTTACCGGATGAAGTAGGTGTTGTGCGCCTGTTTCAAGATAGTAGTGTTTTTTCTCCATGTCTGTCTGGTCAGATATGCATATAAATCTCCTCAAAGCAGAATACTCTTCGAGATAGGGCTCCGCAGAACCGGTATCCGCCGTTCTCCTACAAGACAGGGGGTCTCAACTCTGCCTCAATATCCAACCTTGGATATGAAGCCTCGCTTTTGGAAGAGCTGCAGTCACGAGATCTCAACGTTGACCCCTTGCCGATAAGAGTCGCAAGTCATGCTTTTCCCCATCAAATGTAAGGTATCAAGATGCAGATGGGGCTCGGCATCTTGCGAGGAATCTAGATGTCATTAAGCATTATTCTCCTACAATCATATCAACAGACAATGTACTTTCGCTGTCTTTCAGAGCACCGTGAGACACCAAATTCGGAAACACGGGCGCTCTGCCGAGTTACATGGCCCGTTGCTGTAACCGTAGTATCG